CCCACACTTGTTTGGAAGTGAAGTCCCAGACCAGAGGTGACAAGCTTTCTAGATATCAGGCCATATTCTCTTACATGCCTTGCCACCCATAACCACACTGCTGTGGGGCCTGTGTGACATTCCTAAATAGCTTGTTAACCGTAGAAAAAGCTGAAAACAATATTCCTAAGAAATACCAGTATAAGTATTTTGATTACCCAAGGATGCTCAAGATACAGACAAGTTATTGTAACAAGGGAGAAAACAAAGGTGGCTGTGAAGGTGCCATTCTGTATTTCCTCCGCAAAAAAACCCCACCTCTCAGATGAGGAAGTGTAATTATTAATTGTCTCCACAAGATGGTACCCAAAGTACAGTAAGAGCTTCAATACAGAGCCTAAATACCAGATTAAGCTCAAGGCCGATGTTTTAATACTAAATCTCCCAGGGAAAACATTGCTAAGCACTACAGAACACAGCAAACTGCAAAAGCCAAAATCAGCCTCTAACATGTACAGCAAAAAAGCGAACATGCCACAGATCAATGATTATTGATACAGATAAATCAATATCATGACCAGCAACTGTTAACAGATATAGTATTAACAGATTTGACGAGAGCCTATTAGACAGAATCTGTAATCTCAAACCCCTCGAACCCCAAGTTGGGTGCCAAAAAGGACTGTTGCATTTTAACCCCAGCTGGCAACTAAGCACCACATAGCCACTCGTTCACTCCCTGCCAGTGGGATGAGGGATTGAATCGAAAGAATAAAAGGAAGAAAGAAACTTGTGGTTAAAAAAAGTTTAATAATTAGAAAGATTTTTTTTTTTAATTGTAAGGAAAATAAACAACAAAACAGGGAGAGAGGAAAATAAAACCTAAGAGAGACAAGCAATGTAAATGAAAACAATTGCTCATCACCAAGTGACTGATGCCACCTAGTCCCCTAGTCCCCACCTGCCAACCTCCCTCACAGTTCTATTACCAAGCATGACATCATATGGTATGGAATACCCCCTTGGTCAGTTGGGGTCAGCTGTCCCAGCTGTGTCCACTCACAGCTTTTTGTGTGCCTCCAACCTACCCACTGGCAGGGCAGCATGAGGCGCAGGGAAGGCCTTGACACTGTGTAAGCACTATTCAGCACTAACACACCTGTGTGTTATCAACACTATTTTCAGTGCAAATCCAAAACACACCCCTATACAAGGCAACTATGAAGAAATTTAACTCTGCCCCAGCCAAAGCCAAGTACAATGGACCAAACTCTAACCACTGTGATCCCTAGAACATGCCTCAGCACAAATGTGTTGAGCAAAATATGCTTTCATCAAAAGCAACCAGTTAATTTGGAAGCAGAAAAAGCTTTTCCTGTATCACTACAAAACATAGCCCTAGCTGGATGACTGAACCCAGAGGAGTATTTGTTACTCTTCACTGTAGTAGGCCTCTCCCCTTCCATGCCACCCCCCAACCCCAAAGAATGAAGGTATTCTGTTAAAGTCAAGTTTGTTCTTTAAACTGTGAGGTGGTATGTCTTATAGCTAACAGGACAGAACTGTTTAGGATTCAAAATCCATCCGTATTCCATAACCAACATTCTTCAACATCTTTTTCACACCACTTCTCTTCCAGACTTATTTAACATGACTGAGATAAGCTAAGTTCTCATCTACTCAAGTTTTACAAGGCTTAGCTCTCACAGTGCTTTGACTTCTGCAAGAAAGTACTTCCCATTGTAATAAAGTACCAAGGGATAAGCACACCACATTTTTTGTTCTACTGAAAGAACATGAATATTGCCAACTTCCTGACTTCCAACGCTAAAAGAAGCAGCATTTTCACTAAGATAGTATATCAGGGCACTCTCCTTAGGTTTTTCTGTTTCATTTGTAAGAAGCTCTAACTAAGTTGCTGCATGAAGTACAGCACGAAGTCTCAGCTACCAGTTTGGTGGCTTTGGTGGTTTTTTATTTGGTTGGGTTTTTTTGTTGGGTGGTTTTTTTATTTTTTTATTTGACTCACTGCACACTTGTCAAAGCAGTCACCTTCTCCAGAATTTCTTTTCAGAATCAGGGGCCCATGACAGCTACCTGTACCTACAAGCTTTAACTTATCAGTATTCAATGCAGTAGTTATCACCCATACACGAATTCATGCCAGGGTTTTGAAGCTAGAAAGTGGTATCTTGCATGTGGAATATGCACTGTCTTAACAGATTATTTTTCAGAGTCTGAAGAAATATGAATAAAAGCAGTAGTCATCAGGTTAAAGAGCCATAACTTCCTCTCAGACATTTACAGTACAGAATAGTACAAAGACTTTTTTCGCCCAGAGAAGATAATGCAGTGTAGTTTATGCAAACCATTCTGCAGGTAAACAGCTTTGGTGTAGTGATCTTAAACAGAGTTTCTCAGAATCTCTATATGTAATGTATATAATTTGTTTTACTGTGACCTCCAATAAATACTTCATTGGCCACTGGATCTCAGAACCATCAGCGCTAAAGCCAAACTATCAGAAGTTGAATTTTTCATCTCAGTCTAGAAGACAAGGACAAGCTGTATGAATGATTTCTTTGTTCTGCATATTTGCACTGAGATTACCATTCCAGCATCCTTGTGATCAAACATCAGTTAGTGTTTTACCTGATGTCTCTGATTGTTGCTCTCTTCATTGGATCCACTTGCAGCATGTGCTTCAAAAGACTAATTACAGATGGATTCAGGTATTGAGGGGTATAAAAGATACCATCACATATCTTCTTAAACAGGGTTGGCACATGGTCATCATCAAATGGAAGCGTTCCACACAGCAAAGCATAGAGAATAACCCCACTGCTCCAAATATCTACTTCTGGACCTGCATATAATCTGGGAAAAAGTTATCCATTAGTGACTTGTGTTTAATACATTTAAATAGACTTTTTTTCTCTACTTACTTACACTGTATCACAGTAATTAAAAGTGTATGAACCTGGGAGAACTAATCTGCAAGTACTATACCATTTCAGTTCTGTGCCATGCCTCCCTTGAACTATAGTGTCCTTCCCCTTCAAATATATAGCAGGGCACAAGTACACAGTTTTCCTCTCTATTGTACAACAATAATCTACAAATGCAATTTAAGATAATGCTAAACTGAAAGAAATTTGCACCTACTGCTAAGAAAGCCCATGTTATAAACTGTTATCACTGTTTCACCAGAATCTGTGTGAAGTCATCTATCTCCCATATCTGTGAGGCTGAGAAGTTTAAGACAAATCCATACAGCAGAACCTATCACATATTCTGTGCTACTGCCTGAATAAAACAGACTTTGGCCTCCAATCAGCAAGAGGCAATATGAGGGTGGGTAGCTGAAAGCAGCAGAGCTGACAGCCATCTAGTCCAAAAAAAACAGGGAAGTTACCTTCAGACTATCTACTCCATTTCACAGCAGACTTTGCCTGTAACTCTATCCATACCTCTACTTCCAAGATCTGAGCTGTGAGATTTTTAAACCAAGGCACACTGTACACAGTGCATTTGCAGCATTAATCATCACCTCCACATTACTAGTAAAAGCTAGTTCACAGAGGCCTTATACTCATGAAAAATTATCTAGACAATTTGAAGTTCTGCCCACAGTTCCTCAGCACCAAGCTTGCCAACTGAACCAGTTTTGTAGCATTTAGAATGAAGCAGCAAAATGACTGAAATACATGCACACATGTATCCAATATAAAAAAAACTACCTTCCTGAAATTACTTCTGGTGCAGCATAGTTAGGGGAACCACAGCTTGTTCTTAAAAATTCTCCATCTGACATCATATTTGATAGACCTGAAAGTGTATAAGAGTAACTACTAAAAATTAAGAGAGCAAAATGATTTCATACTGCATATACAAGCTAGAAAAAATCAGTAGTCATTCAAATTAGAAAATTAACAAATTTATCTCAGCAAAGAAGTAACATTGATTGGAATTACTGAAATTTTTATATGAATATGCCACATAGTCCTCCATTTAGTTTACTGGAAATTTGAGTAACATCAATCCATTACTGCACACCATCAAGAAATATTTGAGAATAGGCACGATAGACAACAAAAGTTGCTTTAAGGGAGATAGAGCAACATAGAAAGATAGAATTTCAGTCATTAACAAGAGTCTTAAAAACCACACTTGCTTGTAAACACCAAAGTGGAAGATGGTACCACAGGATTGCCTGAAATTCTATAAGAGGTTCTATAGAATAAGAGAACTGAGGAGTACATATGCCTTTAGACAATTTAGACACCTACACTGCTCAGTTGGTTCCTGAATCACTGCAATTCAGTAGTTTGGTTTTAGATACTCTGTTAGTAATTAAAGTGTACTTAAGAACTAGGCCATTTTCGTTCACCAGCCCTCAGTATAATATCAGTAAATAACTACCACTTCTAGAATAGCTTTGGAAAATTTCTGTTTTCCTCAGTGCATGTTCAAGACTACCATAAAACAAAGAACTGAGCCTCCAAGAAGGGATTACATCCTCTTATGAGAGGGCAGGTGGGGACACAGGTGGCAAAGATGAAAAAGCACATCTTCTCTAGCTTTCATATTCTAACACACAAAAGCTTTTATTAAACTCATTTAATACACCCAACATGATTAACAGTGCTACAGCTTTGCTGTTACTTAAGTTAGAGGATGACTTTTTCATAAGTTACTGTACTTCATTTCTTCACCACGTAAACTATTTCACCCAAAGTATTTTGTCCATGCAGATAATCAATACGATTCCCAGTGCCCACATACTTGAACACCATACTTCAAATATACACTTAGAATACTCAGCATTACCTATTTCATCAGAGACCTCAAAGTGCTTTACAAGGGCAGGTATTATCCACTATATCTACAAGAAATGTATCATGACGATATAGCAGTATGGATACCTTACTATGCTTATATGGTGAGGTTTCCTGATTCAAACTGTTCCAAGAACTAGCTGCCAGTCTTCTCAGCAGCTGTGTCATAAACAGCTAGTATAAACAACTAAGCTTTCTGATTAGTTAGGCAGGTATATAGAAAAAAGCACAGGAACTTACAAGATTTACTGATCTTACTTTTTATGCATTAATTACATTTTTTCAATCATATCTTTAGAGTTTTTAAAGTGAATTGAAAGTAGTTTAATAGGAAGATTAGTGTATTTTACCACAGCAATGTGGTTCTTAAAAATGTTGAACTGCCCTTGCACTGTACGTCCAAGAAAGCTAGGCATCTACAATTTACAGCCAGTGAAACAGGCAATAGGAGTGAATTGTGAAGTGGAAAGGTCAGGAGCCAAGTCTATTTAGCATTTCGGAGAAAATATGGTTAAGCAAAACAAACCAGTTCACAATTTCACCCAGTCACAGGAAATATGTTAAAAGAAAGCTTGAGAGGAAATCAAGTTCTACACATATGCGAGAACATCATTCTACCTTACATTCATACTCTTCAGGTTCTTGTATTGTGTCCCACCACCAGAATATTCAAGTATACACATTTTATTAAATACTTCCCATAGTAATTAACTGGATCTAAATAATACCAGAAATACGATCAGATATAAAATAGCAATGCTTACCGAAGTCTGCTATCTTGGCATTCATGTGTGCATCAAGCAGCACATTTTCAGGCTTCAGATCTCTGTGTACTACCATATGCCTGTGACAGTAATCCACACCAGAAAGTATTTGCTGGAACAGACGTCTACTTTCCTTCTCATCAAGCTAAGACAGACAAAGGTTTTAAACAATTATGAGACATTGAAAGATGTCTTGTTTTCCATTTATATGAATTAAAGGAAATTATTCCATGACTTAAAGTTCTCATTTACAGTTTTGATATTTTATACAGCAGATTATCAGAACTTGCAGGAGAAAGCTTCATCACTTACATTATTTTGTTTGTACCACAGCTCTAAAGGACTAACACATACCCACTGGCTTAGAAAGTCACTGAAATTTCTCAATCATGCTTTTGAAATTGGTTAGGCAGATGTTACATACTCAGTAACTATTATAAACAGTAGCACCCAACCATTAACTGTCTAACTGAAATATCAATGAACTTTTACATTTAAGCACAGCATAAGATTTAAGTTGATAAAAGCTGCTGACATGCAGTACAGAAATAAGTAAGATTTAGGTGCTATTGATGGTATTAGCAGCTAGCCTGAAACAACAGACTTAGCTGGGCATTCCCTATGAACATGCCCTAATCCATGTCAAAGTTTGTTCTAACAACTAAAAGTACCCTGACTATCTAGATTGTCAAAAGTGACTTCAGAGCTTTCACAGAAACTCTTCCACTAGTAGTAGAGGGTAATAAGGGTACAATGGTAGCTTTCCAATAATGGGTTATACTGGAGAAATATTTTTCAGCTACTCCAGCTGGATACATATCCATCCAGTTTGTACCCAGTAATGTAAATTAGCTTATCAGTGGAGAGGAAAAATGCTATGACAAAGTCATACATAAAGATCTGAAGCATGTTAACATATAACCATTTTTACTTTCAGGACAAGATGCTGAAGTATATTTTAATCGCTAACAGCAAAAATAACACTGAATACATAAAACCAAACCTTAATTGAACTGGGTGTGACCAGTACCCCCTGCTCCTGGTAATGTGGTTAGCATAATTAGCACCATTTTATGAGGCAAGCAGCCATTCTGTGACCAAGTCACATATTTCTGCCCTTTCCCTCATTATCAGGCCCTGAAGGTCCTGTGAACTAAGCAGATGAATCAAACAGATTTCTTCTTCCCCTCTCTACCAGCCTCAAGATTCCTGGGCACCCTTACCAGCCTTGGAGGTCCCAGGCAGCCAGCCAGCCAGGTGGTGGCGATGACTCCATCACAGAACAGGGAAGCATAAACTGTGCTCTGTGCACTGTTAATAAAATCAAGCAGTTACAAGTCCTCAGTGGGGAGCCTGGATCAGAACCGCTGCTGGACAGTGAGAGGCATGATGCCTCAGTGGCCAGGGACACCTCCACCACCCTCTGATTCCTCCAAGGAGGGAGTGACTGACTCGTATTCTTCAATATGATTTTCGAGTCTAGACTGTGATTGTTGTATCAATACAGCAAACCATGTATTAAGATTTGACCTGATCTGCAAAGGGTCTCAGTGATTAGAAATCGTGAGTTAAGTTGTCTTATAAATTCTGTATTACACTACTTCTAGATCATACTACATTGATTCTGCTTGTAGAAATCCTGTCCCATTCTAATAATAAATGCTATGCTATACTAATCATAATATCCTGTTAAGAAAATAAAGCTTTAATTATATCATTCTGTCAAGGATCCCCCAGAAGTCTGTCCCCTCAGTGTCAGGTGACACAGGAAAGTTGCAAAAGCAAAAACAGAATGCAAGTCATTGATTTGTAGAGTTGGACTACTTCTTACCCTTCCATTTTTACAGATATAATCAAACAGTTCTCCCCCTGAAACATATTCCATCACCATGAAAATGTCAGTTGGTGTACTGATGACCTGGTACCTGATAAGAGAAGGTATCTGTTAGTCTACACACTCAGTATAAAATACTAGTTACATTTAGTTAAAACCAAATTGTGCAGAGTCAGATAAAAGTATACTTTTAGAAATTTATCAGACAATTTACAGCTACTAGAATGACAGTATCTTTCAGAAGCTATTTCCTCTCCTTTCACTATGTGATGCCATCATTGCTAAGACTGGCAGAAAATCTGTATTCCTTACCAAGAATATCAGTCTTTTTACTTTCAGAAGACTAAGCTTAGTCCAAATGATTTCTATGAAACTTTTTACAGTGCTGTGTCGCAGGCAGCTTGGTGCGGTGAGGAAGGAATTCAAAAGGACTTTGCTAGCATCTCAAAAATATACCTTAACATGCAAAAAAACTGCCTTGCCATAACCATGACGTGTACTTCAAGACTAGAAAAAAAATTGCTCTTAATCATGAATATAATCTTTTAGAAAGACCTAAATTTGTCATTAGTATTTAAGAGTACTGACACTTGGCTTATTATATTTTTATCATTCTAATTTGATGAAGTTTCAAAAAACCCAAAACTTTGAAGTTTTGAAATAACTAGCTAATAGCCAAACTCCCCGTTTAAAAAGATACTGATTTTGTTCTATACATCCTTACCTAAAAGTTGTTTAATTTTTACCCTGTACAACAGTTAGAAGTGATCAATTTTTAATGGAACAAGAAAATGAACACTGGTAACACCACACCCAAAACTCAGGTATTATAGAAAAGACACGAGGTAGCAATTAGAGGAAAATTAATATTTCAAGGTACTTGAATTCAAATACCCAAATTGCAAAAAAAACTTGAATTCACACATACACTACAGAACTGCAATGTTCTTCAAAATGACAATTCCAAGACAAAGGTGAAAACAGACATGCTTCAGCTTACTGAGGCAAGTTATTCTTGAACTACATAAACAGCAATGAGTTCAGACTATCCAGGTGAATGCATGTGTTCAAATATATGTGTGCATATATTTAACAGCTTAGTATTATGCCTGAACATTTTAATAACCTCAATACCTTTCTGAGTCAGTTATCAACATAACATCTTCAAAGTTAGTTTTACCTAAAATCTTATAGTCCATGATGTTTACCTTTCCTCATTTTCTCTCTCATACCTTGGTTGGAAGTACCTCATGTACTTAAATAACAACATTCTGAAGCCAGGGCCAAGACACTACTACAGAAATAGTATTTTAATCTTTTTAATCCAAAATTTGCAGCCATGCTTCTCTATAGTCAGCTCATTTTTCTGGTTAAGGAAAAGGAGTCTGTGGCATAGTTACACACCTATAATATAAATAAGGTTATCAAACCACATAGCATAGATGACCAGAATGCAGAGAGAGTCAATTTTATGTAGGAAAACAAGATGCATTCTACTGCTAGAGGCCAAAAAACACAAGAGGAGATGCTCCAAAGGTTTTTGTTTAAAGCATAGTATAGAAAGCAAGCCATATTGCAACAGGCTTGCAATTGTATATACTGCTAAAGCTATGAAGTTTTTCAGAAAGCACAGCAATGTTCCAAATTAGACATTGTCTAATTTGTAGTATTCAGCTGAAGAAATCTGTCTACCTTTATCCCAAATATCTTAAGCTGCTCTAGCAGTTCCCCAATCCAGTTCCTAATAGCACAAGCAGCATGATCCTAAGTTACCAGAAAGTCTACCTGCACAACAGTATCAATGATCTCAAATGCTATTTATACATAGGCTAATAATCCTTCTGCTTTAGCAATGCAGGCCGACGAACTGAAAAATTGGGGATCCGTCAGCTTTTCCATCACCTCCTACATCTTCTCTCTTCTCTCCACACACAGATGAAAAAATTCTCCCCATAGTTCCCTGAGAAAGAAACTGTCATCTGAAACCTGTTAAGCTGACTTAACACCTTAGCAACACCTTAGAACACATTCCTGTTCCATCCTCATATCCCAGTCAGTACACTGACACCTCCTATTTTGTTTTGGCTACAGGTATGTCCTTTGGACTCATTCATGAACGAACTCTAACTGGCAGCACTAGCAATTTTGCAGCCAAGTCAGCTCAATAGTCTTCTGAAAACTAATCCACTGAAGAAGTTAGCGAGCTGATCTTACACAATCCAATTTAGCTTCAGTCTAAGAGCTGTTGCCAAATTAAAGGGAGTGTGTAGGTATGGCAGCTGTCAGTGGCAGCAGGGTCTTAAGACAAGACACTGCCAATCAAAAAAACATGATTAAGACAGTGAAAGTCACCCACACTGTGGAGGTATAGGTTAACTTTACAGGAAGTGAAAGTCAAAAAATCCATGGCATTCATAATTTATTCTCTCAGACCAGACATGAGGGGTCTACTCTGGTACATTGTACTCTGAACTCCACTGATAAACTATTGATCAACTAACAGACGGAAACAGGCACACAGTAAATACCACATTTACAGAAGTGGTAGCAGCTATATTGAAGAATTCTGAAATATCAATCACATATAACAAACTGCACATTCTTAATTCAGAGAAGTCTCACAGAGTGCCATCTACGTTGGAAAACCATAGCTCACTGATCAGCACATCACTAAAAACATACTTCAAGTAAGAAAACACAATAAAGGAGTTATAAGAACAAGATCATAAAGGGCATATTTATATTTTCTAAGCAGAAAAAAGATCAAATATAATCAGAAAAAGAAAGCTAAAACAGCAGCTAAAAAACAGAGATAGATATTACTAGAAGTATCTATCATGCCATTACCTTTTATATACCTGTCCAAAAAATTTGTAAGCAAAGATCTAGTGGAAGTTCTCTGGCCTGCAGAGATCAGTTTTGTAGAAATGCATTACAGAGGACTCTGAAAACGGTTGCATACTTGGATAGTTGTTACTTTCCTGAAAAGATACTGCTAGTAGTATTGCCCTTAAACATGTTTCAAATCAGCGAGAGCAAAAAGAGATTACTCCTTAAATAAGTTTTATTATAGCAAGCAAAACTTACAGCTTGATTATATGGGGATGCCTGAAGAGTTTGAGGTTCTGAATTTCCCTGCGGATCTTTCCTACAACATCAAGGCTGCGAATCTTCTGTCGATTCAGGATCTTCACTGCAACTTTATGCCCAGTTAACTCATGTTTGCCAACTGCAAGGAACAAGGAAATATTTAGTCAGGGTTTTCAATTGCTCCATAAAGACACTAATTTGTCCATTTCAACTGTAGCCAAGAAATACACGTGAAGATGTTAACATTACACATGTCCCCATTATCTTTGGGGAGACTGAAAACCAGATGGCTCATCATTTATTCTGCCCTACTGCGATTTCTTCCACAATTCTATCATTAGAAGACGAATGGGACATGTAAGAGAAACCCTAAGCCTAACCCTCGGAAGTCTTGTAGCATGACATTTTTGCACTACTGCAAACAAACAAAGCATATCTCAAAACAATGCTATCTTTGCTAATTAGGGAGACCATTTTCTCTCCCTGTGGAAGTCACTCTGAGCTTTTGGTTCACTTGGTAACCCACTCAAACATGTTCTTCTGCAGCTCTTCTACTTTATCTTATCTATTTACTAAAGAAAACATGGCTATCTTTCCCTCAAGAAGCCTGTTTCAGCAATTACTCTGAATTACCACTGAGAGTAGCTGATCAGTTTACTTGAAAAATAATTATTTTTCTGTCCTTGGAGCAATCTGACCCTGTAAAAGCCACACAGTCTGTACAGGAAACACCAGAGCTTTATTAAATAAAGCAAGTGGCTTCAAGCTTTATTTAAATATATCCATGTGAAGCTGTGATCCACAAAAATCTTTCTGCATTCAACAAATAATTTGGATAGAATCAGCAAACACTTATCAGTCTGTAAATCTCATTCCCAACACAAGACTCTCCTGCTGCCTTTTGCATCGATACTGACCTAAAAACCAACGCAAGTGAGAAGAAATTCTTAGCAGAGAGACAGAGATAATGATAAGCATCTGGGTGATTATTCTTACAACAAAAAGATAGTCAGTGTGTAAAATAAAGCAGTTTGTCTAAATTCCCTAAGTAATTAAGTAGTGGATTACCCAAGACCCTGAACCATCACAACGCAGTTGCTAGATGCCTTTTGTACCTAAGAATACAGAAAAGCTCCAACTGCAAGATGAAAACATACATCCCATCATTCAAAGGAGCTATTATCTAAAAATGGCTACAATAACCAAAACACCAGAGAGGCACATTTGCACTGCTAAGGAATACAGGACAAAGCCCACATCCATCACAAGTTCTAGACAGGCCACAAAGCATTGGCACTGCAAAAAATCACATCACCTATGAGAATTATTTGCTTTCAATCATATCTACAGTTAAAGCAATCACATCTCCTTTGTTTTCTTCAGTTCAAATGTGATTGAAATTTTAAAGTACCCAACAAGTTATATCACCTATGTTCAAACCCTAAGGAGTACTGGATCATTAACAAAAAACATTAGAAAAGCAACTATTCCATGTGAATTACAAAGTCTTTGCCTATCAATAATGTGAACTCAAGTAGTTCTTCTGAATTTGGGGGAAAAAATTTTTAATCAGTATGTTAAAACTTAACATTAATTTTTATTAGTAAGAAGCAGCTTCTTAGACTAACCAAAAATCAGTTAGACACATGAATTTGCATCTTCTTTTGCTTTAAAAAGTACATTTAAGGTGTTTAATTTAGTAAGTAGCATATATATTTGAGTAATTCTACAGTTTAGCATATAAATATTCCATTCTGACATGCATTGTGTTATAAAGCCTCATTTATCAGCCGATCTGTTTCATTTCTGATTTGTCAGACTACCTTAGATGAAAACTGGAATCTCATTAGAACTCAGAAAAACATTAGAAAGTAATTTATAGCTACAACAATTCGTGTTCAATATGCAAAGCACATAAAAGTTTTTCAAAACACATTTTTCATTCGAAGTAATTAGAGAGTAACATTTGCAGTTGACTGAAATAAATTGTAGCTGTCATAGCCTTCACGATTGTGTGCCTCACGCCTTGATTGTAATCACTGACTGGGAGAAAACAAGATTTTCTACTTCTTCAACTCTGTTTGCCAACTTTGAATAAATCATTCTAATGAAAACATACTGTGGTTTTGTGCAGGTGCAAGAAGATCCCAAAAAGCTTGTGTACTTGCTTAAGACATTTCAAATTGAATCACTGGTGGAGTCGCCATCTCTGGAAGTGTTCAAAAAACGTGTGGATGTGGTGCTTCAGGACATGGTTTAGGGGACATGGTGGTGTTGGATTAATGGTTGGACTTGATGATCTTGAAGGTCCTTTCCAACCTTAGTGATTCTGTGATTATTTTCTTCAGCAGTTTTTGCCTCCCTTTTTAAATTCCATTTAAGATTATAACAAATCTAACTTTTTAAGATAAGAGTTTCAAATAACCATCTACTTAATGTTTTCTTGGATATAGTTCGAGGTTTTCTTGGATATAGGTCAAGGTATTTGTTATCAGTAAAACAGCAAACACTAACCATTAACAAGACTGCTGACTACTTTTGAATTCAGCATAAAGACAGAACTGAAAGCAAGACCTCAGATGCCAACATCAGGTGGAAAACTAAGCAGCCAGCGTTATCTTTCTGAAAGCTACTTCGTATTACCTCTTGACAGAACCTTTACCTATAAAAGGGAAGTAAAATAGAAGTAATCAAAATATATTTACATTAGTCACCCTAATCCTCCACCATCTATCAGTCCTTCAAATGAACCACTGCAAAAAGAAGTTTATCTTACTGACCTAACATTTCCCTCTATCTCTTTATTCTCTGATAATACCAATTGCCTTCAAGCTTCACTACGGCTATGCATAGCACCAAGACTTCCAGAACAGTGACAGTCTCAAAGCAGCTGCAATTTCACAGAATCACAAAATCATTAAGGTTGGAAAAGATCTTCAAGATCATCAAGTCCAACCATCAACCCAACACCACCATGCCCACCCACTAAACCATGTCCCGAAGTGCCATGTCCACCCATTTTTTGAACTGCAGGGATGGTGTTGCCACCTCCTCCCTGGCCAGCCTGTTTCAATGCTTAACCACTCTCTCTGTAAAGAAATTTTCCCCAATATCTAGCCTAAATCTCCCCTGGTGCAACTTGAGACCATTTCGTCTTGTTCTGTCAGTAGTTACTTGGGAGAAGAGACCAACACTCACCTTGCTACAACCCCCTTTCAGGTAGTTGTAGAGATCGATAAGGTCTCCCCTCCCCCTCAGCCTCCTCTTCTCCAGACTGAGATTTCTCTTAACTGTTAAAGTGCTGGAACAACATTCTC